TTCGATAACTGTTTATTGGTCACGTCCATTTCATATTGCATTTCTGGAATTTTCTTTTAACAAATATTATTTAATTATTGTACAGAATAAATATAATCGTTCAACAGTTATTGAAAAAAAAATCAAATCGCAAGATCGTTGTTTACATATCAGTGAAGTTTTGGATAAAACTATTGTTCAATCTCATCTCATTCGTCGTACTAAATATTATCATAAACCCTGTCAAGAAGATCGATCATTGTCCTGTTTTTATGATGATGGTAATGAGAATAATAGTGGATATATTTGTTTATGTACTTTGTTTGGTGATCAACGTCAATCAAATTGTTTTGAATATAATCATCAGATGAAATATGATTGTCATGGTCAAAGTAATTGTAAGAATGGTGCAAAATGTTTACAAGATAGTGCTAATTGTCCAACAACATATATGTGTGTTTGTTCACCATGTTTTTATGGAACACGTTGTGAAATTAGTACAAATGGATTTTCTCCTTCATTAGATGCTATCTTAGGTTATCATATTAAACCACATGCAAATATTCATCGACAAACAATTGTTATTAAAATGAGTATAGTATTGAGTATAATTGTAATTCCCATAGGATTGATTAGTGGCATTTTATCATTAATTACATTCAGAAATAAAGAACCATGCAAAACTGGTTGTGGTTACTATCTTATTGGAACATCAATTACAAGTCTTTCTACAATTATCATTTTTACATGTAAATTTTCAATTCTTCTTAGTGCACAAATACTATCATTAACAAATCAATCATTTCTTCAATTTCAATGTAGTTCAATTGACTTTTTATTACGAATTAGTCTTTATATGGATCAATGGTTAAATTCATGTGTTGCTATGGAAAGAGCAATAACAATTATTAAAGGAGTTAATTTCAATAAGGTAAAAAGTTTAAAAGTGGCAAAATTAATGATTCCTATACTTTTTATATTGACCAGTTGTTCACTTATTCATGATCCTTATCATCGACGTCTTATTGATGAAATTTATAATGATGAAAAACGTATTTGGTGCATTGTTGATTCTACAGCAAATGTTCAAAAATATGATTATGCAGTAAATAGTTTTCATTTTTGTGTTTCATTCATCATTAATCTGTTCTCAGCAATAACGATTATCATAAAAAGTGCTCGTTTACGAACAGCTTTTTAATAAGGATCAAAGTTACAATAAACATTTACATGAACAATTCAAACAACATAAACATCTTTTAATAACTACAGTTATATTAGTTATACTTGCTATTCCACGTTTAATTATTTCATTTATAACAAGATGTATGAGTCCTACTGCCAATCTATGGTTATTTATTATTGGATATTTTATTTCATTTATTCCACCAATGTTAACATTTTTTATTCATGTTTTTCCATCAAAAATGTATAAAACAGAATTTAGAAAAACAATTCAAAGATACCAAAAAACAATACAAACATGTGTAATACGTCGACAGACAATCTGATATTATCTTGCTTATGCTTTGCTTATTGTTGTCATACTTATTTATAATGGAATTTTTTAGAAAACGTAAGAAGAGTCTAGAAAATTTCAAAAGGATCTAATGGAAGTTATGCTTTAGGTAGTTTTTCTCAGTGCCAGGAAACCTTACTAAGGGATTGATACGGGAGTGTATCTGATGATCTTTGACCTCTGTCGATCACGGTCTGTGAGATGCTTCACAAAAAACCAATATGTGTTTCATTAAAAAATATTCAGAATCAAAATATGCTTGAACTGCTAATGTAATTCTTGCTTTTTAACGAAAAACTATCTTCTCTATTTTTTAAAAATTTCATTTTTGTGCTTTTCCTTACAATTATACGAAAAAATACCAATTTTTATTTCATTTTAACATATATAGAAACGACTTTTAATAAAAAGACTTAGCGAACATCATTAATAATCAACAAATAAGGGTAAGGGTGTTGAGTTTTGAGAAATACTACCGCGACCGATTTCTTACCTTCGATATCTTCTTACCTTTATTATTTGTCGACGAACGAATTTTTTTCCCATTTTCACATAGTCATATTTGCCAAAGTTAAGGTATATGCTGATCCCATTACACCACCGATAGTTTATCGATAGAATTTCTTCTCATAAATAAAAACACTTTCTGTGATCATAATTCGAGCTAATTTTGATTTAATATAATTATTAGCAACATATGTTTCAAGACGACGAATTAAATCAACGCTATCAATAATGGTTGTTTAACGAACATGTTTATCAAATAAAGGTCGAAGTAATTTATCTAAAACCTTTGAAATTCCAGTTGTTGATGTGTACATCGATGAGACAATTAGTCTTAATGGTGTACTTTCGTATTACAACAAACAAAAGAAATGATGATATCGGAGAAAATAAATTTGAAATTTACTTTATGTGATTCTGGAATGAAATACTAAAAAGCCAGTTCAACTTTTTCTCGCTTTGGCATCATTTTATCAAGTTGCCATGCATGGATTTATTTTTTCGAACGAAGCTTATGGAGTAAATGAACACCATTATCAAATACTGTCCATAATGGATCACTTGTTAATTCAATATAAGCTCCAATTTTTTGTCGATAAGCTTCAGCTTTCTGTTCATAATCTTTTACATGATCAATATGAAAAATATCATTCTTATCTGTAACACGAAGATTTTTCTTTCTTTAAACTATGTTGAATTGATTTTATTAATTTAAGTTATTTTTGAGTACGATATATATTAAGACAAGATAATGGAGCCATATATCGTTGATAAAGACATGCTTCCAGTTGTTGAGAAAATTATTTAATTATTGATGATGTATTTGACATATGATAAACACGAACAACATAAGGTATGATAGCATTTAGAATATTATTATATTCTTGTTTCACTTGTTTTTGTCGGTATTTATAATAATTAAGATAACTCGGATTTGGTCTTATATAATTTGGCGTTTAATGGAAAGTAATAACAATAATACACATATTTAATAAAGAATTGATGATTAAGATAACTATTGAAGAAGTTTTGTAACTTATCATTATGTGAAAGAAAATCTAATTGAATACGATTTAATAAGACTTTGGAAACATGGGTGATGATTTGTGGATAAATATTGATTGTTTTCTTTTTTGATAATACATCATGACGATGTTGACGTATTAATTTTGTGTGAAGACAAGATTCTTTATACCGAATCTTATGCATTAATCTGTTTGTGTGACGATTTAGATATATTTTAACGAAGAATATTATCATAGCTATTTGACTGTTCTGATGACAAGAATTTGTCTGGAATAGTTGAGATTCAAATGTACTGATTTCTTGTTATTGGGGTACTAGTGAGAGGGGCACTAGTTGTTGTCATCGGGCACTAGTGAGAACTATCTTGAGGGTGACGGGTGAGTATGATGTTAAAGAACGCTACAACCACCTATAGATCTATCTCAAGGGCCATTCCTCACGTAGTCTTAGCACCGGATTATTCGATTGACTGTCGTACATAGACATAGTCGTGCGGCAGTGAGGCGTAGATACATATGCATAAATCTATGTACTGGTGTCTAATTTCAGAAACTAAAAACCGGAGGACTCTAGCTCTTGTCATTCAAAAGTTATCAACAAAATATCGAAGTCCACCGTTCATTGAAGAGGATAGAAGTATTTTTTAAGAACCTTACCACAGATGGTGACTCAATGAAGCATAACGAAAAAATTTATTTGTTGAGAAACTTTGATATCAAACAGGGTATTGATTGTTAAGAGTTAACAGGAAAATTTTGAGAAAAATCAAATAGAATTTAGAATTGTTAAAAAGCTTAAGGAAGGTTAAAAAAGACTTACCAGACTTACCTAGCGGCCAAAAATGTATTCTAAAGTTTTTAAGGTATTCCATCTTGTAGCTCGTAAAATTCGCTATCAGATGAGGTATTGCTTAAGTTTTTTTTGAGTCGTTATTTTATAAATGAGACTTTAAGCTAATAGAGTAGGCCATATTAACGTTAATTAGTACTAATTAGTCGATAACAGGCAGAAAAGAACAAAAATTTTTGCATATTTTCTCGTAGTAAATATTCTCCACACATTTCGCTATCGATCTAGGCAAGAACCAAGTTTTTATGATAAATGGAGATGGACAGGAATTTTTTTAATAACAGTGCATTGTTCAAAATTTAACAATATCTTTTTAAGTTTATTAATTTTTTTCTCAGCCAGATAATGTCAGTAAGCCGAAAAAACTTCAGGACATATACTTCGAAGTATCGTCTACAAACTGGAAGCGTCAGAGAATCCTCCTCCCCCTTAAAGCTCAACTTTTCTCAAAATTTTTCTGTTACACTGAAAAAAGTATTACACTCAATACGTAATAATATACTATTGGATATATAATTCGATGTCGTGTATCGAACTACGCAAGAATTAGCTTTTCATATTGAAGTTTGAAATTTCAATGAAATTTCTAAAAATCAAGCAGAAAACCTTCAAAAATCCAAATCTAATTTTTCGAAATCAAGAGCTTTTCGTTAAATCAGGAGCTGACCAGGAGATTTTTTTTCGAAATCAGAGGAAAAACAGGAGAGTATTAGACAGTTTTTTCTTCGACAAGCAAAACAAAAAAAATCCAATCACTTTTTCAAAACCATAGTATTTTTTGAAAGATTTGTTGATGGAACAGTATTATCATTTGGTACAGACTGCAGTACGGATTATGAAAGAAGTTTTTGATCCGATGAATCTGGAAGTTAACGAGTCTAGAGAATATTTCTGCTAGTGGCGGAATTAGAAAAAACAGTAAGTGGTGGAAACTTCGCTATACGCTGAAAAAGGTCGAGGCTTTATGACACAAATGAGACTTTAATAAACTATGTAAAATAAGTTGGTCTTCTGCAACTACAGAACGGCTTGTCTATCCGGATGCAATATTATACTGAACCAAAACCATTTTCGTATGACTTAGGCTCTATTAGGCATGCGTCAGTATTAGTATACTGAATACTGATGAATACTGGCAATAGAAAAAACTTAATTCCAAATCTATATCGCCACAAGGTATTGGTCGTTTTTAGTCATGCTCGAATAGATCAAAATATCATCTGTTCTTTTCAGCACACATCTTATAGCGTGAATATGACCGTAGTCGATCGGGGAATGTTCATAGGTAGTCAACATAGATTTATTCTTATTTTTTAGACTTTTCTTTTGGAAAGTCACTCGAATATAGGAATGCAGACATTCACGAATACAGATCTGGAATCTTCTGTTTGTGAGCACGTTTGTGAAAAAAATTCATATTCACTGAAATAGTTTCAGAATTTTCATGCAAAATAATCGTCCTTATCAGGAACTAATGAAAGAAAGTATTACTTGTTTTAAGTTATCCATCAGAACTAAATAACAGTGTTATCTTTCCTCTCTTCGTGTCTATGTTTTGTTATTTCTACCAGACAATGTGCAGCATCGGATGAATCAGAATATGTGTTTCAAAATTCCAAAAGCTTTTCCACTTGATCTTTGCATTAGCGGTGCCTTACTTGATCCTGAACTATACTTTGTAACATATTTCTGTGAATTAATCCATAAAGTTCATCTGCCTCTTCAACGATAGAACCTACGGAGTAGTTTTTGAGACAGCACCGAAAATTCAACCTTTCACAAGCATAGTGCGAGAGCACTGCGAAGGTACAAAAAATTGTTCTAAAACTGTTCATTTATTAAAAGAAATTTATTTCCGTTTCATAGAACATTTTTTCTTCACTCTGCTGCACCAAAACAAATATAGGTTTATGCAGGTTTTCTAAGACGGAATAAAAACAATGACAAGAGAAAAAGTGCCGGAAAGACCAAAATACATGAAGAAAATCAATTCACCGTCATATCTTGACCCAAAACAAGCAACAGTAGAAAATAAATCCTACTAGAAAATATATCATATCAAAATTTGATGGTTTTTTTCTAGAGAAGCGTACCTCGAGATTTTTACATATTCGGAATCAGCGTGACGAGTTACGTTGTACGGCGCAAAGATCTCGTCGGGGTATTTCCGATTTTTGGGGT